GATCATGATCACGTGATCGCCCTATCACGTGAAAACAGGTCTACGTCGCACCCGAAAATATATATGGAAAATATCGAATTCGACAAGATCTAACACAGTCTCTTTCAAAACAAAACTCGCAGGCCAAAGACCAGAACGGTGCATGAGAGTCCGGTTATCCTGTGCCTGGAGCTGCTGGCCATATGGTCGCTAGTGACTGTACGACTCACTTCTGAACACAAAGGTGAGGCTAGTGAATGGCTTCTGCAACGGACAGGATCTAACTTCTGTTTCTAACAGTCATTTTTCCGATACAGTGTAGATGGGTGTAAAAGCTAGCGTGGTATTTACGTGGTGTCCTTTTTCCAGTACACGGCAATATTCTGGGTTGTATTATACCAGAAAACGCATACTGGCTCAAGCAAGAAGTAGTGAAGAACGTGAATTTATTGAAGCCTGAGACTCCACTGAAAAAGCTGTCAATAAACATATCGGAACTGATCCTATTTGTCAACTGCTAAGAGCAAGAGAACGCCAGAATTGCAGAGCTATGAGCTGCAAAAGCAGACAGACGAGAGACTCATAAGAGAGGTAGGAAAACCCAATTAAAACGGACACATCAGTTTGATTCGAGGAGGGGCTCAATCAATAAACCAAAGTACCAGATAAACCGGTAGACGCAGAAACATTAACTGTTACGATGAAGAACGTGGTGCGGTTCAACTAACCAATTAACCTCTGGAGGACCAAACCGCAAAGTAATGCAAATCAAGAAGAGGGTCAGGCAAAACCAAGGAAGAGACTGCTAAAAATAGAGGGCATTGGGATAACTATCCAACCCAGAGGAAGGAAGACCACAGAACAACAAATGGACCAACGGAAACGCTGTCCTCCGAATAGCTAATCACATTAGAAGTTAATAGATGGTCTTCAAATGCTATATAAGCGCACTCAGGCTAAGAGAAAGTAGCCAATGATGATGTTGCGCAATGAGGTCTCCTCGTATGGTGACGAAACGTTTGCAAGTTAATAGTCAAACTCGCGAACAGATCAACAGCCACCAATAATTTATTGAATTCCGGTCAAAGGGATTTCTGCATCTTGGCTACTTTTAACAGCCACTACCGGACTCTGTCTAGGCTCGGAAGACCTAACAATACCCTAGCCCTCGTTCTTCCTTCTGGTGGCATGGCAGTTGGGTACCGAAAGGGTGTTACAGCTGAGTGACTTTCTTGCTGGACCGCACTTGAGTTATTGAAGGAGAGTCGGAAATTCTGTACTAAATACCTAGTGTATGTCATGTGCAATATGTGATATATAAGTGTTGTTAGAGTATGCTGCAGTCTAAATGATAGTATATCCTGAAACTGCAGCCGACAGGCTTGTTTGACTCACGCTGACGAGATCCCCTATGGGTGAAACTCAAAGCTTTCTTCCTTCACATGCCCATCTGCCATCGCGTCCTGGCCGCGCGTGCAGCCCAGCGAGGGCTACGGATCTTTGGGCTGGCGTTTCCGCATGCCTGGCTGGCTGTCCCCACTGCTATATCAAGGTACGTTTGATCCGGTTCATGTTGTCTGTCCCCTATAGCGAGGCATTCAGTAGTTTATTTCCAACCATCCGACTCAGCTTCTAAGGATCACCGCCGTGATCGAATCACAGAAGATTTGAGTTCCTGTCTCTGGCATACTATTCAATGAACGAAAAGCGTTGACGGTTCTCATTCCAGAGTACCTGCTCTATGGATAAAAGCGTATGCTTCATAGCTGCGGGGGAAACGCACCGTGTGGACGGATAACCTACAAACTTAGTCAGTGGCTCGGACGTTGAGTATGCACGGAAACTGCGGCGTGCGAGGTGAGACCATTGCCGTTAATCGGACGTTGAGTCCAGTCACATCAAACATACAGTATGTTTCACGTTATAGTCCGGTAAGTTTCCAGTGGGTTTCATTAAACAGACGCTGCGCTTCGGTTAGAGTTCGGCTGGTCAGTGTGCTTCAGCACAAGGATATGGACCCGTCGTTATGATCTGATTGTTTGAGCACCAGTGTCTCATTTAAATCCACGCGTTGCGTGACAGTGTATAGTGTGACAATGGTTTTGGTTTATCCAGAAATGCAGCTGGTTACAATATCGGCTTCAAGTGTTCTCACCGTTCCAAGTCCATGATCTGCCGATCAGCTGTGGAAGCTTCTCATGTGGTGCTGTGAATAAAGTCGTAATACCGAGACAAATGCATAACTCTTCTGAAATCCACCATAATTACCAGCAGACCACCGTTGTCTGTGTGTTGAACGTATGGACTTGGTTGTTTTCTTGTATTACCCAAATCAAGGAACAGCGAGGGACTTAGTTCGGACTCCGCTCTGGTCTAGGGATCGTTCACATCCAAGCCATCAGACACTGTTCGACGCATAAAGTTGTCTGTCGACAAAGGCATTCTACGCCAGTCTCGAAATTAAGTGTAGGTTACCAAAGGTGTGAACTCCGGTTCCAACAGGTCATCCGAAAGGCAAAGAAGCGACTGCCACACCTTCCTTCGTCTGACAAGTCTGATTAAATTCGAAAAGTATGGGGGATAGTCAGTCGATGAGCTATAAAAGATCCGATTGTATGACCCAGCGATTTAAAGCACCTGATGCCATTCGTCGATGGTTGGAGAAGTTTTCTGATAAGGAAATAGGCTGGTAATTCGTTGAAATATTGGATATAGGCTTCAAATACTCATAAATTTGCATCCCCAAGCCTAGACAACCATTTTCAGAAGCTCCGCTCTTTAGGTTCGCCATATATGATCTCACTCAGCAGTCCCTCCTCTTCGTTTTCACTCAACTTCTTGATTTTTCCCTGGGATACTCTACTGAAGTACAACAAGAGAAAGCTACTGAGAAAAAGACGGAAAAATGACGGAAACCGTGCTGAGTAAGGTATCAGTGACCAAACTTGGCCCGTGATTCTTTGGTCCCCGTTTTCCAACATCGCTGTGAAAGCGTTGAAGTAACTATTCCGAAGAGCATGTTTGATACTGGCCACGTGTGGGCTGAACAGAGACGTAAATAAACAAGTACTACTTGCTTGGGAACCTCCACCACAAAGTGAATGAGATTTATAGCATGTTGAATAATCCCCTGGCAACTTTAAAACCATATATACAGATTAAAGTAACAACCAGAATAGTACGGCCCTAAGTTTTTCACATGAGGAGATAATCTCCGCGTTTTCCACGGCCTTTCGTGAAATGTGAGCTACTCTTGTTCGAAGAATCTAGATGATAACAGGCTATCTGAATTCGGTGCCGGGTGTGCGAATTTCTCCAGCGTCCTAACAGGGCTAGCAGATTACGGAATGACAAGTACGCTCATTCGTTCCCGTGTCACGTAACACTTTACAAAGGACACGTGACGGAGGATGCTATTATGTGCAACAGTTGCAACGGCATTCACAATTCAAAAGAGTTTGCATGATGGCTGCAAAGTTCACAACTTATTTGCTAGAATGTAATCCCATTTCACGGTGATTGGCATCAAGTGTGCCGTTATTGTTGTCGCTGTAACAGCGGATCCATTACCACTAGTGACAGTGGTGGTAAAATTAACTGTAAGGGGAATGTGCTCAAACAAATTTGGAGATCATTATCACAATAAATTCTCAAGATTATGTGGATGAGGATAACTCAACAGCTGCTGAAAGAGCCGCCGACAAAATGGACTAATACGTTCACGTGGAATCAACGCGTATAATCTACATAATTTATGAATGTGTGGAAATTCATCGCAAACTATTAAAAGTCTTTCACCTGTTGCATGAAATCATCTGTTCAACTATCGAAATAGGAACAAGATCCCTTAGCTAAATCTTGGAACTGCATCTGGCATATTAACCAATTCAGGTGTCTTTCATATTTACTATTCGCCCCTTAACAGGCCAACTAACTCACTGGCGTATTCATTTGCGAATATTCACTAAACGGGACCGTCATTAAGTGCACTTAATGCCTGACGTGTGAAGGCATTATTCATCAAGGAAGCCCATGACAACAGGATCTCTAAATACTCAGCATGAACCACACTGCCGGCTGTTTGTGACGTCCGTTTACACCATCAAATATGACACCTAAATTCGAAGTTCGCTTGAGCAAAACCTATATGTGAATAGAGAAGACAGTTATTTTGGTAGGAAATCTCGCGGACCACCAATGGTTTGTGTTCGGTCTGGGGGACCGGAACGACACTCGTGTCTTGTCGGGCTTGCCGGGATTGAACGAGCGTTCGTGCTGTTTTGTGCTTCCCTCATATTAGGGAATGAAATGTCAGGAGGAACTTGCTATTCGCCCCCGGATTTAAAGTGGGGGGGGGGCATTCTTATTGTTTTGCGTGATGTGGCTTCATCATAAAAGAAAGCCCGTCTCAAGGTCGGACCTTAGAAATGTCTTAGATAGGATAGCCTTATCGGTATTTCAGTTTTACGGCTCGTACAGTCGGCTGTTGCCGAGATCTCATACCACATTTGTTCGACAGAACAGCCCAGGAACGCTTACGTGCAGCAGGCTGTAGTGGGATAGAGCTTGGGCGGGACTGAGAGGAGCTGTATGAACAGATACCGATATGCCATACGACAATTTGATAGTAAGATACACATCGTTCAGTCAACGACCAACTAGAAAGATAATCTGAAGGGAGCAACTGGCTTTTGCGCAGTCTTACCCCCTTGGAAGGGTTTCAAAGTTGAAATATGGTTCAGGTGACCAGCTGATAGTGGTTCCTCTCGAGAGTGGAAACTGCAGTATCAAAGTGCAACACGTGCACACAACCAACATGAAATATCAACCATCTGTGCATTAAACTAGCGGAACCATCTAGCTTTTCTCTCTGAGGGTATAACATAGGCAATGCGTGGGGATTTCCCAATATCGTACTACTTAAGTGAGATAAGATCCTATACTGAGTCACACGTCATGGCCATAATACTTGGAACACTTGGGATGAAGATAAAAACATACCAGACCACCGATAAACTTACCTCATCCAAAGTTTTTATCGAAAACACACACAAAGTCATATGAAGTTTTGCCGGCGAATAGAAATATTGACCCAACCTAGGTTGCCGGAAACAAAGCTCTCGGGCAACCTCCTCGAACGTCCTATTGAACGCGCTTGAGAAAATTCGCTGACACAGAATGAAATTTGGTTCACCAGGTTTGTACCAGAAGACATCTTTCAAATCTGGCCACGTGCTCACCGAATTGGAAAGTGTTGGGAACGTTTTTAAGATTTCCGTTTGTTCTTCACTGTTCTGTGGTTTATACTGGTCCTCTAAACTGCTGCCTGCACTTCCTAATAGATACAAACAGCGCTCAGCTTGCAAGCATTGTCGAACGACTTCACCAAGTGGGTAATTTGTGTTGCAATCCCACACTATCCATGTACCGTATTTCACGTACAGTACGCGATATTTGTTCAGTGCGTCATATTTCCAGTTGAGGTCTTCAAGTTTCCATAAAAATAGATCCAATTCATCTTCATTTGATACATAGTCGTCCACCAGGTAGCCCACAAGCAAACGCCATGCATTGATTCGGGGTTCCTCAAGTAACCCTATGAGCATTTGCATCACACGTTGCATGTTATTTGAAAATCGGCTAAAAACCAACAGCACAAAGTTGCAAATGGCGCTTTTTGGTCCACAAAATTGTATATTAGGAGCGTCAGGCGGCAATAGTGAGCTTACATTCTGTGTAGGGTAGGCGAAGAAGGCTTGATCTTTTAATCGGTAAGGTGAGTCATGTGAATTTTTCTGGGTGTCTGTGTGGCTGTTCGTGTGTACTGAATCGCGGCAAAAAGATCGATTAGTGAAACGCTGGTTGTTTAGTCAAACGATGAAGCAGCTCATGCTCACATGCGATAAATTTGCCATCCAAGCCACCGAAACGAGTTGTGAAAAAGCTTTACAGCATACCGGTGGAGCTTCAAGTCGCAGTGGACCCTCATGTTTTTAACCCACAGGCCATGGGGTAGATTGTTTTGAACTGCATTATATATAGCCTTTTCAGATATTGAGTCTAATTATTGGACAATACGAATAACCCCGGTTCAAACTGGAGCTAGTCCATACACATGAAAGCAACTGGCGTCAGAGACCCAGAAAAATAATTAGATAGGCTGGAGTTCTTTTGAGTTCCACTTTCAAATGCCAAGAAGCCTTGAGGAGCAAGACGTGAATCGGTAAATAAAATATGGTAAGGAAAATCACTCCACATGGAAAACATATTTTGGCACACACACACACACTAGGGCTATGAACGCTAGGCTCCACAGCTCAGCTGTTCTCAAACAGAATTATGGCCGTTGATGTACAGTAACTGGAACGGTTTATCTGGTGCTGAAATCAATTTCCTCGTCGGTGGGCAAAAACGGTGATAATGAGTTTGAAGCTATCACCAACAGTCAGAAAAGGCGGCCATTCCGAATAATTAGGTCCCCCTGGACAACAGTGAGCCCAGCGAGAGATATGATCAGGTCTGCGTCAGTTTTATATAGCCACTTAACTGTTTAATAAGTTGAATCTAACACTAGAATCTACCAGAGTAACAACTTCTCAGGGTCTAGTCGGGCTAGCTAAGATCGTATTGGTGCCAACTCCAGTATCATCGAGTCCAAAGTGCTACATAACTACAAGGCTTGTGCGGGAGTATAACTCGATTCATGTGCTTCCCGTTTTGTCTGAGCTGACAATAAGCTGTGGAGTTGTCAAATGAATCGTGATAGTGAAACGTACTGGTGTGGCTGCGCAAGACTCATAGGTATTTAGTAGCACCTCATTAGATATAAACCATGAATGACTGACGGAACGAAAGCAAATGAGACTAGGGATGCCCCTCAACACAGTAAAAAAAGGTCAATTGGGAATACGAGCGGAGTGAATTCCATGTTTGTTAGTTAATTTCACACTAGGAGTGTTAGGTTATGAGGAGATATCACAGAAAAAAATAACTGTTGTCTAACGTAACACCAAGTGAAGGGCATCAGTAACCATCCATTACTACATGCGGTATTCATGGATAAGGGGGTCGTTTGAATTTACAGCCGTTAAATGTAGCACACCGTATGCAAAACTCCAACAGGAATTAGACTGCTTAGCAGCCACGTAAGTCTGGTAGGCAATTGTGCAATCTTAATTGTGTGGCTACCAGCCGCCTAGTAGTGTAACTGATCACTTGATGAGTACCTCACGTACCTGGGATTTCCGGTGCCCTACCAAATTTTCCTTATCGTTTAGTTCCTTTGAAAACAATCAAGAACCCTTCGACAGCCCACGACCAGTTTCGCCCTTATTATGGCTCATTAGGTAGGCGCAGTCCCCGAGCTTCCGTCAAACTTGTGTTCTACTTGGAACCAAGTTGCAAGAAATTAGCGAAATACATGCATTCACAAACGAATTCGGTTTCGCGAGACATGCCTGAAATCCAGAAATACAATCGTGTCAGAGGTACGGGTTTGGTTTACTAGTCTGTCGACTAATGCCGCCACTGTAGTATGCACCGTCGTCCATTACGACTCCATTCTTCGCAAAAAAAGACATGGTGCACTCTACGGCTTTAGCTCATTCATGATGACAACGAACTGTTAACCAGTCAGCCAGCCTAGCACACCAGCTACATCGTGGACAAGGGATTCGGACGAAACTTAGCACTACACAATGCACGTTTTTAATTCCTAGTCTGTGCGCACTGCGCTACAGCCGGCCCGAAGCATAAGTATGAAAAAGGCCGTTTACCCGGCTGCGATACCCAACCGGATCGCCAAACGAACACCTCACCATGGACAGAACAAGAATGAACGAGGTCAATGTAGCCCCACTGTGTTACTTTAAAAGAGGTCAACTCAGTGGAATGTCACCGATAGGGACGGCTGCACTTTGAAATAATTCTTCAGTTGCAACGCCGTTCGGTGCATAGCTGCTACTCTTAGAAGACTGATACACTGCCAGGTCGTCTACTCTTAGACGGGAGCATTCGAGAAGCCAGTGAACTAGGGACCTTCCGGTTAGTAAGCTCGCGCCTTAACCACTGATCCGTCTCTCGAGCTCTGAAAAGCCAACTAACATGAACCATCCCCACCGCCCCTTACCCTTGGTTAACAAAAACTGCATTATTTTACAGATGTTTTCCTACGGCTTTTAGCAAAGTGTAGTGCATTATTCCACTTCGATCAGGATTATTGATCCATAAGATCAACAGCCTCGTACATATATAGATGAAGTAACAAGCCTGTATGGTAGGGATTATTTCCTGTTATCATCACTAACAATCTAGTCTGTGGACAATGCTGGTTTACTGGAAAGGATCCTTACAACGAGCGAAAAAGGATGACTGTGTGGGTATTCACTGGGAAACCAACTACTCCCCAATGGAAGACGGTCAACTGATTTGTAGGCGTACACATCTTTGAACAGAATGGAAATAACCGTTTATGAACACCTTGTCGGAGTTGGATGCCATCAGCGTCTGCACTTACCTAATTTAAAAACCCAACACACAACTAGAGAGACCTCAGTTGGACAGTCGGACTGAGATGTGAAGGCGTGACCTTCAATGAAATCAGCCGCATGTCATTCTCTGTGGGGTTTTAAACATATATAGCGACTGTTATCGCAGGCGAACAATGCACACGTCCTGTGATCACATTTGAATGAGGGTGACAACGGGAGTTAGTCGTTGAGGTATCTACAGTCTATTATGGAGCAGTTACCAAGATCTCGGTAAAAATCGATTAAATTGATCATTCGCGACCTAACGCTGCTTTGGACATATCTTCATTCTCCGTTGCAACCGGGTGGCGCGCTCCGGACTGCTACCACGCTAGGCTACTTATCACAGTAAGTCAAGAGGAAACCGGTAGTGATTTCGGTCGAGTGACGAATGGTAACCTTGAGCCAACGATACAGCGTACATTCGTGATGTTTACTCGCTGCAGAGTTGTGCGTCAGTCATTTCGAGGACAAGAATATGTCTCATGTTCGTGCTGGAGGAATGGTTGTAAAAACTTCCGTGCTGTAGAATGAGGTGCTTGAACAAGGCAGGAACTGTTAGCGAGTTTTCCCGGGCGGAAAAATATCCTAGCGTTTTTCATGAACATTCTTGCCGCGGGTGAAAAAATACCTTAACGAGATTTGAGAATGAGAACTTTAAAAAAGGCACAAAGCGGTGTTCTTGACCTCAATGAGGATTCCGCCGGTGTTGGAAAAATGACTGCAACATTATCCTACCATTCAGATGTCATGTATGAGAATTCTGTGATTTCACGGGGAATTGGGTGTTTCAGTTCATTAGAAGCTACGGATGTTGCTGATAATATCGAGTTCACTGACCCCTTTTCTATATAAATGGAAAGAACAAAACGCCTGTACAACCTAGTTTCGACGGCAATAAGTTGTCCCAATAGGCACCGAAAAGTCTTGGTTTGTGAGTTCTTTTCTTGAAAAAGTTTATCTGTAAAAAACAACAAAATGCATGAAAAAAAGAAAAACAATCCATCCACGTGGGAAAGACTTGATTTGTGCACAGAAGCGACGTGGAGCTATTTTCGTCAGTCGTCAGGTTCAGAACTTGATGGGGCATCCGTGAATCGTATACTGCCGTAATTTCGATAGAAGCCATCCTCGTCGCGTGCTTTTCCCATCAAACAAAGGTGGAATTCACGAAGCATAAGAGAACCGAAATCCGTCGACTTGAACTCCTCGAACATTTCTGGCTTGATGCGGCAATGCCGCTGACTCTTACGGTTGAGCTGCGGAAAGGACAAGGATGAAAGGATCGAAGCAATTGGTTTAAATAAATCACCGCAAACAAAATGTGCTATTCAAATCCGCGTCAGTAGGCAGTACTAACAATCGACATCGTCGAGATCAAGCGTGTGGTTGAACGAAGGCGGGATAAGGGCAACGTATATCTACGAGTTTAAATGGTTGTCAATTATGGACTCACACGTATTCCTGTCCGGATTCGAACCCGAAAATGTAGCAAGGAAAATGAAAACGTTTACCCTCGCCATAACATTCGGCGTCTCACACATGGGCCTAAGACGCCCATATGGTTGTCACTGACCAATCATCTAGAGCTGCTTCCTTTAGTTGTAATTCCCACACCTTGGAAGCAGCATTATAGTTACACATAGTTACATTGTAGTTGCATATGATTACCTGATTCATTTCCAAGGACTGTAAGATAAGTTTGGCTCCTAAATCTTTGAGCCTCAGGAAAGACGATGCTACCCTGTCGTTTTGAAGGGCGGTCGAAATCAGTCTTAAAAGGATGGACGTAACACGTCTCCGGTTGGCATACAAGAGCAACATATGGCACGGATGACACCCAAGATATTTTATCAGGGCTTTGCCACGTCAAAACGAGTCCCCAGCACACCAAAATGGCATACAAAAGTCCTACGAATCACCAGCCATTTGACCCAACAAAATTGACTGCTGTTTCCTCCGACTTCTTCAGCGCCAAAGACTACTGAATGGTGGTATCACCTAAGCAGTTCGCACTGGCAAAACGTTTGTAAGCTAACTGTCAAGCTCGACGAATAGATCAACTGACTCTCGGTTACCTTGATGAAAGGATCTGCAGTATCGAAACTGGACTTCAACTCAAACAGATTGGCGACAGAATCCTCCTTTTCAATTGTTTAACCACAGGGTTATTTTACCATCCAGTCTAAAAAAGAAAATTCTTCTCATTCGCCAGTATCCTACTGAAGAGGTGATAGGTTCCCACGCAGACCCTTACGCCCTTATTGAAACCCAACGGCCAGGCGTAGAGGAATCGGACATACGACTACCTAGTTGGTGATTTCAGGTTATCGCCCACCGGATCGCATCAACCTGTTTATGCAGTTTTGGGAATCCGAATCAAACGGCTGTTGGCCTATTCAGGAAATCCGATTACGGGTCAATGGCTAAGATGATCTACCTAAGTAGACACTGCTCTTCATGGAGGATGTAATAATTGCCAAACCATTTTTTTTGTATTTTATCCGAATGCTATACTGAAGGGGTAGTTGGATTCCAAGTAGACCAGAAGCAGGACATACATTGACTGGTTGATTCTGCGAAGCTAATCTATCTGATGTAGGCCTTCACGGAAATAGAGTCAATCGCTGAACTACAAATTACTGCACGATTATGTCCGCTAGGTCAGAAAAGAAAGAAGTTTCAATGCACAAGCGCTTAAAGGGGTGGGTATTACACTTTATGTCAATTCATTTGATACTCTTAGCTACAAACCATACATGGAAATGCATAGGATCCAGTTTATATAATTTCGTCCAAGGGGAGTGAGTGAATAAGGACCACGCATCCGAGGGCAATAGATTCCATTGATCGTTCTCAACCGGAGGGGATCGAGGTCTCAAACAGAGTTGAGGTCACAGGACCTAGACAACAATCAGCCTACTCGTTTTGTGATAGCTGTCGTTGGTTTACTAAAAATTCCACATTGAAGCTGCAGCACTATTCCACAGTTACAATCGGTCTCCCTTTGTACGCGTGCTTGTATAACTTATAGAGAGTATTTTTAACTCGTTGAGCCGAAGATAGCTCAGTGCTTAATAAGCGAATTTATTGACCAGAAGGTCCGTGGTTCGGAACAGGCCCAGGTATCCCAATCGCTCGTCTAGGCTTGGGAAACCTGACAGTATCTGGGCCCTAGTGCTTCCTTCCGGTGGTACGGTGGCTAGACACCGAAAGAATGCCACAACTGAATGACTATTACTTTTATCTACGATGGTTGGTTGATTAGAATACCTTATTAGTCCTTGGAGAACACAATCGCGACCCACTGCAAGCTCTAGACTAGCGTTTTAATATATTCGAACAACTCCACACCGATTTCGAGCTCCAAGAACTCGCACGAACATCAATCGGTTTCAGTATCGTTTGCATTGAACTGGGCTTTTTGTGCCAGAGAATGAGGGAATGGCTTAGGTCCACAGGTTAAAACGAGTCCAGGGGGACTAGGAAGACTGAAGATCACACATCCTATCAAGTTCACCAACTTTGAATTTTAATAGTTTTTCTGATAAAGCCGCACATCGGAAGCGATAGATTTGATTCACTACCGCGTGAATGGGCCGTAAATTTTTGCCACTGCTGTGGTCTATCCGGGGTACCCAGGTCGCAGATGTCAAGGCAACTAAGTCTTCTATAGAGGAAAAGGTTGATAGCGTTATTGGGGAGCACACTGATGATGTCACCTCGATTGGTGATGAAATGTTTGCAATCGAATTGCCCAGATCAGCGAACAAGCCAACGACCAGCAACTAAGTCTCTTTACGAGAGTTTTCAAAATCACTTCACAGACCATAAAGTACTCACCTCCTCATGGTTGGCACCATGTACGATGCTGGGTAAAGGCAATATTGCGAGGCAGAAAGTCCTCTGAGAAGACCTAACCAGTCTGACCTACAGAGTGTGATAGTATGGGTCGTAGGCGGGGATATTTTGATCTATAGGATTAAGTAAAGCACAGCGAATTGGATGATAAAAGACGACGAATCCGTAAGACCCTATCGTAAATGCTTAGGAATAAACCCTGCTTCTCCGGTATTGAACAAAAAACGATTCTCTGGAGTATACTTAAGGCTTTTAAAAGCATCCTCAGTCACTGCAAGAAACAATATTTCTGAGGTTCCAGTACTCTTGGAGATTGACCCATTTATTTGACCAAGTGATAGACTAATAGGTTCTATAATTTCATGTCCAATTCTTAGATGAGATTCCATGATTTTGCATTAAATTCCGTTACCTGCTTTTCTGCAATCTTTTGGAGTCCAAGGACTAACTAATGCTTATGTGTCACCGGTGATACTTCAAGTCAAGTAAAGAGACGCTTTGTACATCCAAAAAGTACAGCAAACAAGCTATAAGTAATGGTAGTTTGGAAAAGGGGAAACGCTGAAACGAAGTGTCACATGTGATTTCATCCATCTAGGAGAGGGAAACGCACGAAAAACAATTATCAACGAGGCATTTGGTCAAGTAGGTAAACACCCTATTACGAAAAGTTGCAACAGTGAGCGAAAATAAGTCTGAATATTGGAACGGACATTGAGAGTTGAAACTGTTCCAAATAAAGAAGGGTAGACGGGATTTTGAGACAAAAGGCAGAGGAAAAAAGTTGTCATAGGTATCCATGCATACTCCACTACACCTGAAAATGTTCTTCAACGTGACTGACATAGGATATAATAGCCTCCTTCAAGTGGTTCGGAGAATACAGCAGGACATAAAATCCAGCCGTGAGGTCGGATGTACCGATAAACTTCAAGATAAGAGTATCAGGAGCTGACAGCGCATACCATTTCATGGAAAAGGATTGAACATTAGGGGCTATTGAGGGGATTTGTGACGGATACCTTGTTTACTCCTTCAAGAAGGATGTGCGAATGGCAATTTTACTGACGGCGAAAGTTTATTAATGCGGTCGTGAAATCGTCTTCTTGGAATGGAAGAAAATCATTCTTCTTTGGTGGCAGTGAACAATGGAGATCACCTCCAAGAGAACAGGAGTCCTCGCCTGCATATCTACGTACGTGTCAAACATACAGCCAGTCATTTTATCATCGGGATATTTGCATCACTCGATAAAAAATATACACAATACCAGCATGCGAAAAAAGGGGTTGAGGAGGACACTTTTGAGGAAATTACTATTTGAACGAAGTAACGAGATAGATGATTTAATGAGCTTTCCGCCAGTGAAAACGATATTTTGACCTTACGTGCAATGTAGGATTACAAGAGTAAAGACCCACGAGTATTGGGTTGAAACATTTACGATTCCATCTCAGCTACTGGCGATATACCTGCCGCTTTGCAACAACCGGAAACTTTACCAGTATTAAGACGCTGCTTAAACCAAAGGGCAAATGTACTACTCATAAGGTTGCTGAAAATCCAAATGGTTTGGTGAGAAATATCGATATATTTAGGGGCGTCATTTGCTCACTAACAACGTGAAAAAGCGAAAAATCAGCACCGGAAACACTAAGTTCAATTGACACGACACTACTTCACTGTTAGTATCATTACTCTCGGTGAGAACACCATCCAGGGCCAGTTTGGCCCACTCAGGAGCCGTAATGGGGGGGGGGGTGATCACGATAAGAGATCACCTCGTCCACCTAACGTTGTGTGGATTAGTCTTCACGAAGAGAGGCTGTGCAAACTCCTGTACAGAACATAATTCAGTCATGATCACAGCCCAATTGATCACCGTAAATCGAAGTGCATCAATCTGGACAATGAACGACATCCGCCAGCGATCAGGTCAGCACTAACAATCATAAAAACCAGTCAGGATGCTAGCTTGAAGCACACATCAGTGACCAATCGATTCAACCTGTTGGGGTTGCATTTTAACCACTAACTGGTACCGTGTAGACCATAAACGGTCTCACCGATCAATCACACACCCTGACCTAAATGTCTTGCTTGTCAACTTGGTTGTGTCCATAGTTATGTGCTCGTTTGATAGCCTAACGAGTACAGCCAGGTATTCGACAAAGATACACTGTAAGGCTGAGCACAAAATTTTCTACAGCTGTAACCAGCTGTATGCTGTAAGGAGAACTAACGTACCCATAAAATAAGCATCTTGACATCTACCCGCATCACAACAGCACTCAACTTTTGCCGTTATCTGGCTACTGCACATATCTGGATCAAACCGCAAACTCCTCTGTTGCGGACGCAACTGTAGTTGTAGAGGATCGCATTGTTGATCGGTTCAAGCCTTTAGTCATGAAAAGTCCACTGAGTGAATGCCTGCGACCTTCTTCACTACGAGCCTGTCCGTGTCACGTTTTCGATCACGCCAATCTAACTTAAGCCGGAACAGAAAATAGGACCGTTTCCAAGAAACGCTATCTCCTTGTGCCCATACATAGCATGTGGGATACAAGCCATACAAGCAAAAAGAAACGATGGACGTACTCTCTAGAGATATACCTACTTTCAAAAGCGTGACATGCGGCACGAAGGGCTCATCCCCGTTGACCTGAAAGCCCTCAGAACGTAAGCTTAGCTGAAGTTGATGAACAAATGCTGTGAGCTCCTTGTTTGGTCTGAAAGAAGCATACAACACGCGCCGACTGAATGCATCTACGCCGTGGAGGTGCAACGGATCCGTTGGCAGTAGGCTTTGGTGTTGTTCACATATATCTTTCAGCGTCGAAAAACAGTCTTCAACCTGGAAAAGGTGACAGCAAATGATCTATGGGGGTCGCTGATTACGTACGAATGTGTATTTATACATAAAGTTCAAACGAACTTTTAACCTGTTGAAAAGTTACTAATAAAGAAAATTATCAGACGAGACCCAAAGGAAAAAACGAAGGCAGCTCACATAATAGAACTAAGGAGCACCGCACAATCCCTTCATATAGGCTAAACGTAATTAGTTTTGTGAATCATTAGCCATTTCAAATCCAATTCTCATTGGATTTGGTTGGGTTGGTGCTTACCAGATTCCTGCGAGGATCAGCATCGACTAGACTAAATGATAAAAATAATAATCGTTCAGCTGTAGCACCCTTTCGGTGCCTAGCTGCCATGCCACCCGCAGGAAGCACGAGGGCTGGGATACTGCCAGGTTGCCCAAGCCTAGACGGAGGAAGTCGAGAGGCAGAGGTCGGGTTCGAACCATGGATCTTCCGGTCAGTAAATTCGCGCTCTAACCACTTCGGCCATCTCGCCCCTGACTAGACTGCTCGCACGCCATCAAAACTTCTTTATGCTGGACCAATGAACTGCCAACCAGTGGTGTTCCCCCGTATAAGTCGAAATCAACATTAATAAAAACAGTTCAGTTTTTAGCTAGTATCGACTGGTGAGTCTTGACAGGCTGTGAATTGACTCAATTTCTCGCCTACGATCAGCTTTTTCTCCCCTCCGTAAACCATGACTTAAAGCGGGACTCCTGTTTTCGTGCCTGTAGTTCTGGTATCTCCATCCGCTTTGACCCATTGAACATAATACCGCATTTCACAAAGAGACTGGACCTTATCGTGGTGTGGCGGTTTGTGTAGCTCGGCGACCCATTGAGCTATACTGGGGGGTGTCCGCGCGACACTCACAGAGTCTATCATACCAGGCTGGTCAATGGTTAGAGGTCTCACGAACACAGTCTCCTGGTCCTCCAGGTTGGGGGTTAGAACAAGTATGGCGACTTGTTCCGTAATGCATTTGCATTTCCCCGCCAAACACCGCTGCCTCGCGGTTAGGCTTTGGGGCCAAAGGCTTTGGTTGAGGACCCTAATCGTCCTCCTGTCTAGGTGTGGGCGCCTTGGTGGTATCCTAGCCCTCATACAACCATGACATTCATAACTAAC